ATTTTGAATATATGTGAATTGAAGTATTTCTTCAATTTTAGTTTAAGTCAATGTTCTTGGGAACAGTTGATCCTAATAGTGAAATGTCAAAGCTCAAGAGAGCTGTCAACAGCCAGAAATGTATCCGTGCTGGTGGAAAACACAATGACCTTGAAGATGTGGGCAAAGATGTTTATCATCATACTTTCTTTGAGATGTTGGGTAACTGGTCCTTTGGGGATTTTTTCAAGGTAAAGGAAAAAAATGCACAAAATCCTGTGTCTGTCTGTCTGTCTGTCTGTCTGTCTGTATTAATAATAATTGGTTTGAATGGATGTCCAAGTACAGGTTAGATGACCTACTTCCATTAAAATGACCAGTTTTATCAAAATGAACACCTTAAGATGAAAAGAGTACCCCAATTTAGTATAATACTGATTTTTATGAGGAAATGTACTGAATGTCTTGCCATATCGAATATAATCTATATGCAATTTCTCTAAAACAAAGTCATCTTGTCGCTGCATTTTAGAAAGAAGCAATAGATTTTGCCTGGGAACTGCTAACAGAAAAGCTAAAGCTACCAAAAGAGCGCWTGTATGTCACTTACTTCGGTGGACATGGTGAGATTGAATCTGATGAAGAAACAARAAATTATTGGATCGCAAAAGGGTAAGTGATATGCTGATTGATAGGGACTTAATGCACTAAAAACTTTTAAACTTTATGRATACAGCATCAGTGCTGATCTAAGCCAGAGCACAGCTAGCTCATAGATGGAATCAGAATTTAGCATATTAGATTTTGCAGAGAGAGAAAATTTACTGGAGAACCCAGAGAAAAACCCTAAAATCAAGGGTATTATTGACAAACTCTGCTCAAGCACATGTGRTGTTGAATCTCAGGGAATCAAACCTGAAACCCCAGAGTTGAGAGGTGAGCATCCTAGCACAGGATCCCTAAAGGTAATGTGTCCCTACCTCTAGTAATTTTGTTGTTTCTTTATTGAATGCTATTAGTGTTGATCCAAGTCGAATACTTCCATTTGGAATGAAGGATAACTTCTGGGAGATGGGCGATACAGGTCCCTGTGGTCCATGTTCTGAAATCCACTATGACAGGATTGGCAACCGTGATGCTAAACACCTGGTGAATATGGATGACCCTACAGTATTGGAAATATGGAATCTTGTCTTCATTCAGTTCAACAGGTTTGTGATACGCTTAATGGTATTTTTGCATGAAATTTGAATTTGTTTGGGATTTGGAATATCGAAATTTGACCTACAAGATAAGCACTAGAAAAAGGTTGCMTGCCAAYWAACCCGTCCACCAATCTATGCATAYTTCCATCCATACCCATACAACAATTCWTCCATCCATCCATCCATCCATCTCATCCTTCCTTTCTCCCTTCCTATCCATCCTTCCTTCCTTCCTATCCATCCATCCTTCTTCCCCATCCATTCTTCCTCCCCATCAATCCATTCCATACCTTTCCATCCATCTAACCTTCCTTTCTTCCCATACATCCATCCTTTCTTTCTTTCCGATCAGTCCATCCCTTCATTTGGTTTGTTTGTTCATTCATTCATTTATTTATTCATTCACTTTTGTCACAGAGAGTCTGATGGAAGTCTCAAGCTTCTACCCAGCCAGCATGTTGATACAGGCATGGGTCTTGAGCGTCTCATATCCGTATTGCAGGGCAAGATGTCAAACTATGATACTGACTTGTTCACTCCTTTCTTTGACAAAATTCACCAGGTAAGGTTTTGTTGAAACATGTCAATGAAAAAGTTCTTTTAATCAGCAAGGGTTCATCCCATTTTGAAGGAAGAAAAACCCCTCATAAATTATCATAAATAAATATTTGAATTTCTTTTTCTTTCGGTAAGCACGGGTGGCATAGCGGTGAGAGCACTTGCCTCTCACCAATGCAACCTGGGTTTGAGTCCCACTGAGCTTGGTGTTGTGTGAGTTGCTTGTTGGTTCTCTCCTGTGCTTCAAGGGTTTTTTGCATTCTCCAGCTTTCCTCCCTCTGTAAAAATCAACTTCTAAATTCCAATAGTCCCCTTCACAGTTCCCTGCGCTATCTTGAAAGGTAGCCATGCCTTTGCATTGAAGTGAGACAAACGTTGAGCTTGTAATGATAGAGACCTTTTTTAACACCTTGGACAATTATTCACATGTCTCT